AGTTTCTGTAGTTTAAATCTTTGAAGAAATTTTCAAAATCAATCCAAACCAGGTTTTAATTTTAAAAACTGACTTATTTTTTTTATTTACCAAAATCGACCCACTTTTTGCCACGTCAGCTTAATCTCATTCCTAAACAGTCGGGGTTGGCAACCCCGATTGTTTAGGAGGTTGTTAAACCCCAATTAGAAACCTTAAAACCGATTTTTATGCCCTAAATAGTCGGAGTTGGCAACCCCGACTAATTAGGAAATGAGATTAAGCTGACGTGACAAAAAAGTGAGTCGATTTAAAAAAAAAAAGTGGGTTGGTTTTTAAAATTAAAACTTGTTTTGGGTCGATTTTGAAAATTTCTTCGTAAACCTTTCTTCTATGCACGCCGAGACACGACCATAAGTTGTTTAGATATCAGTCGCTTAAATCTTTCAAATCTCTGAAAATTGGTAGTTAACGGATTAGATGCTATAGACAAATTAATCTTTCTGATTAGTTGCCGTCTCAAACATGGAAAATATATCATTAAATTAGATTGTTGGTTATTATATTTTATCACTTAATTGCACATTCATATCTATGTTATAATCATCTAGATGATTAATCGTGTTATTAAATACTAATTGGATCGTTCGTCACTTTCAATAATTTCAATTAATTGATAAAACAGATCTCGCTGATATGGCGTAAAGAAGTCATGATCATTAATGGGGTAGATTTCTTTTTACATATGATATTTTGACCACATATGGAAATAAATATTTTGAAACATGTCGGGGTGAGTTGTATTGGGTAATTATATTGTATTTGTTATTTTATTCTTAAAAATATTAACTTGAAAAACAAATTCCTTTTTATATGTGATGTCTCGATTACTTATGAAATGAATATATGGCAACTTGTGTTGGGTAATTATACTACATTTGATATTTATTCTTAAATAGTAACTTGTAACATGTTGAGTAAATTGTATTATTTTAAAATAAATGAAAATATACAATTCAACTTGACGAAAAAAGTTAGAAGTGACTAGCAATTCAATTAGTATATAATTACATGGCTGCCAATCCAAGCAATTAAAGACCAGATATGAACATACAATCACAAAATAAATACAATGACTAATCATTCAATTAACCCTATTGAAATTTAAAATTTCAATTGCATCTCCCTTATTGATTTGGTTTGGTGATCTGAAATATTCCGAATCCATACCCAAACCCGGTCTCTTTTTCTTGTCTAAGTAGCACTTAAATACGTTATAGCATCACTCCCTTAACACTTATATACCTTCAGTTATATTCCGTAATATTTTATATATCCTGAGCTGGTCAAAACTAGCATGTTAATACCCTTTGTTTTGTGATCGTGAATTTTTTCATTCTAAATTTCCCATGTAACATTCACGTGTTAATTTAGAGCTTGTAAAACATAATATTTGCTAAATTATTATTAAACCAACCCAAATTTCAATTTAATATATCCTAATTCTATTTTGAAAACAGAACTTAGAAAGATTTAGCAATGAAATCAACAAACTTAATAGACAGAAAATTATAAAATTAACATATGAATATTACATGGAAACTTCGGTTGAAAATTTTTACATCCGCAAAATAGAGGGTACTAAAGCGTAAATTTTCACCAACTCAGAATATATAAATGGTACAAATTACAACTGAAGTTATGTAAATGCGAAACTATAAGGTATTTAAGGGGCTGTTTGGTTGTATGTTTTTACCATGTAAAAGGATGTAAAGTGTAAAAAAGTGGGTCCCAATGTCAGCTTTCATCACTTTCAATTGTTTGTTTGTAGTTGTGAAAATAGTGTAAAATGATTTCATATGCTGATGTGGCTTGTAAAGTGATTTCATGAAAAAAAGACATGATTTTAGGAGAAAGCTAACATTGAAGCTAGGAAAAAATAATAAAAAATAATTCCAACCAATATGATCATTTGAGTAGGGACCACTTTTTACACTTTCCAAACAAACAATTAAAGTTTTATTTTGCAAACCAAACAAGTGTTTTATGATTCCAATGGAATAAAAAACAAACAAAGAAAAATATAAAAGTGAAATTGATAAGGTGAACAATAACTTTCCAAGTTGTGTCATAAAAACACAAATTTACCAACAACAACCAAACAGCCCCTAAGCGCTAGCCTTTTTCTTTGACATCATGTGTACTTTACTCAGTCTAACACCGGGGTAGGGCCAGGAGAGTCGAGCACCAATGATTTAACGCGTAGGGGGAAAAAGTGAAAACAATAAAATTAATGAGGGTCTTTTCGAATAATAAAGGAGCGTAAAGATTTGCGTCAAAAATAGGTGGAAAAGCTCCCTCTTCTTCTCGAAATTGAACTCTCTCGAATTTTTTTTTTGGTTCCATTTTGTTGATTTTTGATGGCGATTTTGAGGGATGAGAGCTTCTCTGAGCTTGGTTGAGCTTCTTCTAGCTCGATGCTTGTGATATTGGCGTACAATCTCTAGGTTTATGTTTCTAGTTGGAGTTCCTGAATTGGGAACATCGTAGATCTCAATTTGAGAATTTCGACGTGTTTCGAAACCCTAGATTGCTTAAAGTGGAATGCAAGTGTTGGAACTTCGACTGCTCAGTTGGAATCAATAAATGAAGTCAGATTCTTGTTTGGAGCTCCGTCAAGGCTTTAGGGATTCGTGATGAACTCCTCTCTTAATTTGGGAGAGGAGGATCAAGAAGGCAATACCCTTCCCTTATTTTCAAACTGAAAATGGGAAAAAGCTAAATACCTAATCCTTATTTTGTGCAGCTGAAGAGATGAGATGCTTGAACTCTGAGCTTTGGCATGCCTGTGCAGGGCCTTTGCTCTGCTTGCCGACCATCGGCGGTCGAGTTGTTTACGTCGCTCAAGGTCACAGTGAGCAGGTGAAAAAGATCAAAACTTGTTCATTTTAATCCTAAAATTGAGGAAAAAAGGGGAGGATCTTAGTGTGGGTCCAGTATACATTCTGCTTTAGAGATCTATCTGTTGAGGTGTGCATTTGACCGCATGCAGATGTTTGTGTAACTTATACCCCAAAGTGTTATAAAAAAATGATATCGGTTACCTAGTGTTTAAGAAGAACGTTGAAACTATAGTATCCTTATGTATGTTCACATAAAAAAAGCAAATCCTAAAAGAGGAACAATTACACATTTAACGATACCATGGAGCACCTTGAACAGTGAAGTTCTCTTATGCAACTTTCATGTTTTTCCTTATCCGCAGAGTTCATGTTGTAACTTAACTGTTAGCTGTCAATTATCAAGTGCAAAATGTAAGTTTATGCTTAGCAAGTATGTTGTCTGAATTTCTATTTGTAACAAGAGCTCGAATATATCAACTTCTATATCTAACAAGAGCTGGAATATATCAATATGACTAGCGTGCATAATCACGTAAATGTGAGCCATTTATTTGTTAAGAAATCGTTCTTTTTGGTGTAACCTCACCTGTCATATCTAAATTTGGTTTAAACATATGTTGTTAATGAAACTTTTGTGAGTTGAAAATAACAAATTCCCAAATTCTACAGAAAGCTATTGGTTAGCTCCAGAGGACATTTCTCATCCTCTATTTTGACTGTTCAGAGAATGTATACCTGTTGCTAAGCCAATTGTTCATACGAGGGATTACCGAGCCTTCACTAGCAAAAGATCTGGTACTCCATTTTTCATTTTCTTTAGAGTGACTGTTGGTTTAATTGGTTTGTGCTGTCAAAACAGGGATATAAAATATAAAACAAAATTCAAGAGTTAGAAAATTCAGGCCTGATCGGGAGCAGTCGTGATATCACTGCCCTAGAAGATTAAGGACCCGCCTAGCGCCCTGGCGCAGTTTGTCCTCTCTCCCTTAGCGGTAAAAACCCCCAGAATCGGCCGGCCTCTGCACTCGGACGTGAGTCACAGAGCTTATGCTCAGACGAAAACGGTTGCCCAGTAAATAAAATATGTAGCCGAAATTTCTTGGAGGTATGAGAGTAGAGAAGAGAAGAGAGTGTAGAGATTTTCCTCTTCGTTGGTGTGATTCTGAATGAGCTCCAAGCCTCCTTTTATAGGTGATGAAAGGTGTAACTCCCGCTGAATCCAAGGGACCGTTACGCACGGTTATTGCTTCCGTTACTCGCATGCAGCCGTTGCAAAATGTGTAAAACGTGCAAAAATAAAAGTTTGAGAAGCAAAAATGTGTGTGTGTGCGGCTGCGGCGTGGCGCGTGCGGGCGAGGTGCGGCGAGGCATGCGTGCGCGCGCGCGTGTGTGGTAGATATGCAAAGCCCACAAAACCCAAAACACTATTCAAAGCCCAATAAAGAGAGAACCATTATATACCCTTTACTATTCATCTCATTTTCCAATGTGGGACTATTCACAAAGGCAAAATTGCCTTTTCATGACAAAGCTTCCAACAGTCCCTCCCAAAAGGTAATATTGACTGAAAATAATAAATCAATAAATAAATCACAAAATAAATATAGGTTGGGCAACCTTTCGTATCGTGAATTCGGGAAAGGTAGCTTTCGGCTTTGAACCTTTCCTTAGTAAGTTCATCGCCACCTGAGGGACATAATGGACTAGGCCTTGAATTAGGCCCCTTGGATCAGGTATTGATAAAAACACACATAATACGTTTTCATCTATTGAGCTAAGCGGGTTGAGCGTTAATGGCCATGCTCACAAAAAACCGACTCATGAGAGTTTCTAGGGGTCAGCCCTGCCCCCCCAACCGCGATCATCACGGTTCCTCTCACGTAGGTAAGTCCTCAAAGGGTACTACAGCTGTTTATTTAATACCCCCCACAATACACGCGTTGGACTTATTAAGAGTAAAACTTAGCCTAGCCAGCTGTATCATAAGAGCATCGTCACCATAGAGAAGGGGTAGTAGCAAATGCTACATAATGATATAAAAATATATCTAGGTCGATGCTCCACACGAGAGTCACTTGTCCAGCTTGTTTCTACCACATTGAACCGACATTGGGATTACGTCTCCAAATAAGGGTTGGGTTGCCGCTGTCAGTGATCTCATTTATGGGCTTAACCCCATCTTCCTCGATGAATTCAGAACCACACTCCTGGATAATCCCTTAGTCAAATGGTCAACAAGATTTTTCTCAGACTTTACAAAGTCCAAGATCACAACTTTGCCTAATAGGCGTTGTACAGACTTATATCTTATTTGAATATGTCTGTTATGTTTTTTATTTACATGTACTTGCTTTAGAAGCTCTATGGTAGATCTAGAATCAGAGTGAATGAAAATAGGAGGAGAGGGTTTATGGACCAAAGGAAGTTCAGAGAGAAGATCTTTTAACCATTCGGCTTCTGTGCAAGTAGTATCAAGAGCAATCAGCTCAGATTCCATGGTGCTCCTGGCAATTATTGTTTGCTTACATGATTTCCAGGATACAGCAGCACCACCAAAAAGAAATACATATCCAGATGTAGACTTTACACTGTTGGAATCCGTGACCCAGTTGGCGTCACTATACCCTTCTATAGCATCAGGGTAACCAGTGTAAGTCAAGCAATAGTCAATTGTGCCTTTTAGATATTTGAATACTCTTTCTAAGACAGTCCAATGATCTTTGCTAGGGTTGCTAGTATACCGACTTAGTCTCCTTACAACATAAGCTATATCAGGTCTGGTTCGGTTAGATATGTAAAGAAGAGATCCAATCATCTGAGAATATTTCAGCTGGGAAACAGGTTCACCTTCATTCTTCTACAAGGATATAGAAGAATCAAAAGGTGTGGAAACAGATTTAGAGTTATGAAAGTTGAATTTGATTAGCATTTTATCAATGCTATGGGAAAGGTTATGAAAGTTGAATTTGATTAGCATTTTATCAATGCTATGGGAAAGACTCAAAGATATTCCTCTAGTATCTCTAGAGATTTTCATTCCAAGTATCATGTCTGCAAGACCTAAGTCTTTCATATCAAAGATTTTGGAAAGATAATCCTTAACCTTTGAAATTAATTCACGTGTTGTTCCAAAGATAAGGATATCATCAACATAGAGACAGAGAATGACATAGTCGTTGTTTATCACTTTAGAATAGACACATTTATCGTGTTCATTCACAGTGAAGCCATATTGTGCAATGACGTTGTCAAATTTCTGATGCCATTGTTTAGGAGCTTGTTTAAGATCATACAAAGATTTAACAAGCTTACAGACTTTGTTTTCCTGACCCTTGGCAATGAGGCCTTCAAGTTGGTGCATATAGATCTCTTCATCTAAATCACCATTCAGGAAAGCAGTCTTGACATCCATCTGATGTATGATAAGCTTATGGATAGCAGCAAAGGCTAATAATACTCGGATAGTAGAGATTCGGGCTACAGGAGAATAGGTATCAAAATAATCAATGCCCTTTTGTTGAGTAAAGCCTTTAGCTACTAATCTAGCTTTAAATTTATCTATGGAACCATTAGCTCTGAGTTTCTTCTTGAATATCCACTTACAGCCAATAAGTTTACAACCTGGAGGTAAGTCGGTGAGTATCCAAGTATGGTTTTTCATGATAGATTTAATTTCATTATCAATGGCTTCTTTTCAGAAAGGAGATTCAGGTGAATTCATTGCTTCTTGGAATGAGCTTGGATCACCTTCAATAAGAAAGGTAAGGAAGTCTTCTCCAAAATTCTTTTCGATTCTACCTCTTTTGCTTCTTCGAGGTTCAATATCAAGAGATTGAGAAGAACTGGAAGATGGTAGATCAGAAGAAATGGATGATTTGGGATTTTCTGAGATTTTAGATTTGAAAGGAAAGATGTTTTCCAAATAGACCGCATCTCTTGCTTCAATGATGGTATTGTTGGATATGTCACTAATTTTAGATTTGATGACTATAAATCTGTTAACATTGCTATCTAGTGCATATCCAATAAAAGCAGCATCTACAGTCTTATAACCAATTTTTCTCTTCTTAGGTTCGGGAATAGCTACTTTAGCCAAGCAACCCCAAACCCGGAAAAAATTCAGATTAGGAGATCTCCCCTTCCAAAATTCATAAGGAGTTGTATCGGAATTTTTCTGTGGAATTCTATTGAGAATGAAGCAAGCAGAAAGAAGAGCTTCACCCCAGAGATTTTCAGGTGCTCCTGAACTGAGTAACATACAGTTCATCATGTCCATTAGGGTTCTATTCTTTCGTTCAGCTACCCTGTTAGACTGTGGTGTATAGGGAGCAGTAACCTCATGAATAATACCATGTTCTTAGCAATATTCAGTCATATGATTTGAGGTATACTCCACCCCACGATCAGATCTTAGAATCTTGATCTTCCTGTGAAGTTGGTTCTCAGATTCAGCTTTGAACACCTTAAACCTATCTAAGACTTCATCTTTAGTTTTGAGAAGATAGGTGAAACAATATCTGGAGTGATCGTCTATAAAAGTCACAAAATACCTCCTACCCCCTCGGGTGAGAACTCGGTTAGAGTCACACACATCACTATGAATTAATTCGAGGGGTTCAGAGTTTCTAGTTATAGACTTGAAGAGTTTTTTAGTGTGTTTCTCTTGAACACAGATTTCACATTTAGATGAGGGATCATGAGAAGATTTAGGAATGAGGTTTAATTTACTCATTCTCTGCAAGGTTTGGAAATTGACATGTCCAAGTCGTCCATGCCAAACATCACAAGACTCAACAATTTGAATAACAGAAGACTCAGAAATTTCATTAGAACTGGAATTGATTACATTGAGTTTGAAAAGGCCATTACAGATAAAACCTTTTCCTATGAAAACATTACTCTTTGTAATCACAAATTTATTGGATTCTTTTACAATCCTATAACCAGCTCTAAGAAGAAGAGATTCACTAATCAGATTGCGACGGAGAGAAGGAACATGATAAACGCCTTGCAGATGAAGAACTTTCCCAGAAGTCATGGTGAGCTCTATACGTCCACTTCCTATTATTGAATTAGTGGAGTCATCTGCTAAGCTTATGCTTCCTCCACGTGATTCCTGATAATTTGAAAACCAAGAGCGGTCATTACAGACGTGGATATTTGCTCCGGAATCCAAATACCAATCAGTGGAAGAAGTTAGAAAATTTACAAGATGAGATGAAGAGGCTAACCTGAAGGAGGTTGGATTCATTTCAATCATATTAACTTTGTTAGATCCATTTCCTTTAGGGACATGTTTGACCGGTTCTTTCTTCCGAAAGAAACAATTATGAGCCATGTGGTTGGTTCTACCACAGACAAAGCAGAACTTCTCATCAGACTTATGGCTGGAAGAATTGAGATTTGATTTGAAGGAGGATTTGTTGAAAGATTTATTGAAAGACTGTTGATTTTTCTTGAATTTCTTCCCTTTGGGTTTGAAATTCTTAGATTTAGGCTTATCCTCTACCAAGTTTACTTTAGCTTTTGTTTCATTCTTGGTGTTGGAATTTTGCCTGTGCTGGTCTTCAATACGAATAGCCTTGAGGGTTTCAGTTAAGGTTAGATCTCCTTGCTTGTGTCGGAGATCTCCATCAAATCTAGACCAGGAGGGAGGAAGTTTATCAATCAAACAGGAAACTTTATAATCGTCAGTAAAAGTGTTTCCTTTTGATTGGAGATGACGGAGGAAATCTAGGAATTCATGAATTTGTTCATTAATGGGCTTGTCATCAACCATCATGAACTTATTGAAGGAGGAGGAGGTGAAACGCAGAATTCCGGCATCATCATAGCCATATTCTGCTTCAAGAGCATTCCATAGGTCTTTTGCACTTTTGAATTCGTAATATATGTCATAAAGGTTGTCCGCAAGTGCACTAAGGATCCTATGACAACAATGATAGTTGATTTCTTCTGGTTTCATAGAGCTAGAAAAGGAGCTAGCACCAGCACCAGAAGTGGAAGGAGCAGGTTGTGAAGGATCAGGAGTCAAAGGTTGAGAACCACTAGTAGATGACTCAGAAGTGTCAATAGCAGATAAAAGACCTAAGGTAGTGAGCCAGTATTTTATCTGATTAGCCCACCGTTTATAGTTAACACCGGTGAACTTCTCAGGTTTGATACTTTTTGAATGATCAGGAATTGCCATAAGTCCAATTCAAGTTTACTAGTCTAGGTAGATGTAATCTGATATAAAAAAAGATTTTGTCAAAATTACTAGACCAGAAACTTAATTAAACCTGCTTTAAATCAAAAACTCTGAAAGTGAAAAGATAAAAGTTTTACTCGGGTAGTTTGGCCAGGTAAGGATAGTACTAGAGGTTGATCAAAGATCTATTAAGTACCTTCTTGCAGAGCGCTTTACGCAACCCTTAAACCTTTCCTTAGACACCAACTAATCCAAGAAAACTTGAACCGGTTCACTTAAAGATTTTTTGTTTCTTTACAATGAAAATTGACAGATGCAGAAATTGAGTATAGAAGCTACAAAGAAATATATATATATTTTATTTTATAACTAATTTAGATGCAACAAATTAAAACAATTAACTAATACAACAAGTAATTATTAATATATAAAATTCGGGTGAACAATAATCCCGATGAACAGTAAATTTTTTAAATTTTTTTTAACTTTTTTTTTATATTTTACTAATTAACTTAACAGCAAGAATTTTTACTTTAATCTTCTAGATTGCTGTCAAAACAGGGATATAAAATATGAAACAAAATTCAAGAGTTAGAAAATTCAGGCCTGATCAGGAGCAGTCGTGATATCACTGTCCTAGAAGATTAAGGACCCGCCTATTGCCCTGGCGCAGTTTGTCCTCTCTCCCCTAGCGGTAAAAACCCCCGGAATCGGTCGGCCTCTGCACTCGGGCGTGAGTCACAGAGCTTATGCTCAGACGAAAACGGTTGCCCAGTAAATAAAATATGTAGCCGAAATTTCTTGGAGGTATGAGAGTAGAGAAGAGAAGAGAGTGTAGAGATTTTCCTCTTCGTTGGTGTGATTCTGAATGAGCTCCAAGCCTCCTTTTATAGGTGATGAAAGATGTAACCCCCGCTGAATCCAAGGGACCGTTACGTACGGTTATTGCTTCCGTTACTCGCATGCAGCCGTTACAAAATGTGTAAAACGTGCAAAAATAAAAGCTTGAGAAGCAAAAAGGTGTGCGTGTGCGGCGTGGCGCGCGCGTGAGGCGCGGCGGGGCGTGCATGCGCGCGCGCGTGTGTGGTAGATATGCAAAGCCCACAAAACCTAAAACACTATTCAAAGCCCAATAAGGAGAGAACCATTATATACCCTTTACTATTCATCTCATTTTCCAATGTGGGACTATTCACAAAGGCAAAATTGCCTTTTCATGACAAAGCTTCCAACAGTTTGAACCTGACCTGCTAATTGTGTTGGGTTGCACCAACCTCTATAACTGTTGAACTACATAATGTACCTGACCATTGGTTACATTGATAATGCAATGGAGAGAATGACTGTAGAG